CGTGATCATCTAGGACAAGAGAGCGGAGATTGTCTCACTCTCTTTAATGTTGGAGCAGAGTCCCCATTGTCATTTGCGCTTCAAGGAAATTAAGCGCTTGACACCGAACGCTTATCCGACTATCTTATTGTGGAATATTCTCAATTGTCCGCTTTAGAAATGAGCGGTAATGATGTTTAATGAATGTTCAGTGGACATAATTTTTTTATTCTTGTGCAATTAATTCTTTTTTTTTTTTTTTTTTTTTTTTTTTTTTTTTTTTTTTTCGAATAACACGCGGTATACATACGAATGATTAAAATTTATATATATTTTTAATTGCACTATAAAATTTATAATGTTACAATTACATTATACATATATATATATATAATGTGACTGTCGGATATATATTTTTTCATTTTAACTCTATCCATTATGTGCGAGTTATAAAAATTTAAAATTGATAAGATTTTTGTTTTATATTTCTTAAATAACGTTTAAAACCTAAAACTCCTTAAATAGAAGTATTACTTTCGAACTCGTAATGCGCTCCATAGCTTCCTTATACTTTTTTTAAAGTTACTTTATATGCTTTCTCCGTAGACGTATAATTGAGGTCTTCAAGCGAATAACCGGTTGTACGTTTTATTTGCTAAATTGAAATGCTCTAATGGTTATATTTAACGAAAAATGACACAAATTCACGGATAGACTTTCTCTTTTTCTCCATTAAACAATATTGAAATTTTTAATTTCAAGTCTAAACATTTTGTCCAAACGAGTGCTCGTAACCGTAGCCCAAAAATTCAACAAACATAACTTATTTAACCGTTCGTATTTTCAAATATAATATTATTTTGTTTATATGTGCTGCTAAAAGTCTGGATAAAGATTACAAATATTATTCTCTCGCAGAAGCAGAGGATAATTTAACACAACTCGCGACTCGAACGTATAACTTATTTTCATCCAATGATTTCACAAGAAATTTCTTTATATAAAAAAGAAAAAAAGCAACAAAAAAAAAAAAAACAAAAAAAAAACAAAAAAAAAACATCACATTTATTACGAGCTTACATAAGATTGTAATAACGATGACTTTTCCAAGGATAATCTTTATGTATATGGTTAAAGTTTACCAGAGTGTTTTGCAATACTCCCGCTAATGAATGTTTTGAATTCCTCGAGATGGATTCAGCTTTCAGCTTTCGTAATTACAAATATGTCCAAAATATTAAACATTACTACCGTATTATTTTTTTGTTTTTTTGTTTTTTTGTTTTTTTTTTTGTTTCTGTATTTTTGTTGTTGTTATTGTTTCTCTAAGTACATCAATAACGGCAGGACGTAGTTATTTACAAAAACCAGCAAAAAAAAAAAAATTAAATAAAAAATAAATAAATAAAAACAATCAAACAAACAAACAAAAAATCGCTATAGAATTATATTCAAAAACCATCTTCCTATGAGAGCTCGTTTATGAAAAAGGACTTTTTCTACATAGGCTCTCTCACTTTATGAGGCGAGTGCAATCGGTCGCGACGCTGCGTTGCCAAGTTTTCTCATCGTCTATGGACATTTATAATATTCTGGTCGTTATTTATGTAATTGTTATTCTTTCATAAAAACAGCCCGTAAAAGTTTAATTTGCCTGTAAAAATGATATCTTAAACAAAAACATCTTTAAAACGTCGGATTTGCACCGCAGAAATTTCTTGCGTTTTTTTTTTTTTTTTTTTTAACGATTTTTATTTATTCACGACTTTTTTCGTATCTCAATTACGTAATAACGCGACACCGTTAAACAGCAAGCCACAATAATATTATTTATGCGGCTAAGCTACTTTGCAGCTGGCCATTTGCAATTATTGCCATTAATTTACCAATTAAGAAATACTTATTTACGAGCTCCGCTCTATTAACTCGCATTACCGATGGCTCTAAATTAAATATTTATCATCGATTTTCGCCGACGCACTTCTTTTCATCGGCATTTTCACTGAACACCCACGAGAAGTAAAAGTGTCCGTATTAGCCACGTTTATAAACAGTCCATCGGTGCGATACGCAATTACATATTCAGCTCACACTTAAGTGTGCGTTTCTCCGTAAAAGCAAAGCGTGAGGGGCGGTGGGGGGAGGAAGGGCAATGGTACGGTTTCAGGCCCAGAAGCGACGGCCACAATATAACATCCGCAGGATTCTACATGAAGGAATGCTTCGGCAACAGCAACGTGTATCTCTATACAATTTCGTTATTACGCATATTGTGTACATATTGTACATCCGTATGCGAGCTAAAAGAAAAGGAAAAAAATAATGCTCACCGTTGCACGTCTTCTTCCATGGTTCCTTCATCTTTACAGAAGTGCTCGAGAACTACTGACTGCGCCACGATATTCCACGGGCCTCTAGCACTTGAGTCCCTCTCCTTCCCTCTCCCCACTCCAGCGAGCCGCTCGCTCACTCGGTCTCTCTCTCTCTCTCTCTCTCTCTCTCTCTGCGGTATAACGGTGTGTGCGTACCGGAGCACCGCTGTGTACCTGCTAATGCCCGTGAAGGAGTAGGAACGAACACCACGAAGAACCTTTCACCGTCCGTCTCGCTTGTCGGTATGCCCCTCCGCCCGTAGCCGCGGCTCTAAGTCATAGTCGAGAAAGTTGCTGGGTCAGGCGCTGCTGGCTTTTATAATACCTCGACAGAGAGGAAAGAAGCGATATTGTAGCAGCAGCAGCAGCAGCAGCAGCAGCAACAACAACAACAACAATAACAACAACAACAACAGCAGCAGCAGCGGTAACAGCAGTAAAGCTGTGTCGGCGGCGGTGGTGGCGGCAGTGGAGCCGACAGCGGCGGCGGCAGTGATGGCGACGGCGGCGGCGTCAGAGACGCCCGCGTGACTCACGAGAGCCATTAAAAGCTTTGGTGGATTTTAGCCATTTTTCCACGATAAGAAGCGCAGATCCGTTTCCCGATTTGCGCCGAACTTTCCTCGTCTATTCACGACCAAATAGAATGTCATCGACTATGACATGCACCCCACCTCCTCACCGTCGCTTTTTTTCAGGACGACGTCGCCATCTCCTCTCAATACCCCCGGTAGCGAAGAAATCTGCAACTCGTGTCAAACAGTGCAACGATTTCAAGTAAATTGAGTTTATAATATTAGGGTACGATGCTCGAGCCTCATTTTATTCAGACTTCGGATCCTGACTCCTTCTTGACTCCCTCCTGACTTCTTCGCGCTCTCTTACTTTCCACTCTACACTCAACGACTATTACCACGGTCCAATGGTCAACTTTATCTATGGAATTACTGAATAATACCCAAGACACTACAATCGGACACATTTTATTTGTATTAATGCCATTAACGGGCATTGCAATAATTTCCAATAATGCGCCATTTATTTTAGAAATGAGCGAACGAAACCGTTATCCAATCATAATGATAATAATGCCATTTTAAATGGTCTCCTATTTTTTGACTTTTACTCAAACATACGATTACAGCAGTTCCAGCATTTTGAAATATGGTCCAACAATGAAATCTTCGTGACCCAATTAATCAAATATGTGTGCAGTAGTGAAATACATACATTCAAGCTTGCAATTTTAATTTTAATTCAAATATTTTTGCATTTCTCTTCTGCATTTATTTTATTGCAAAACGGACACGCGACAATTCAATATTTACAATGTTTCATAACCATTTATTTATTAAATATTTGGATTCTCATTATAAATAGTTTTTTAATCACTTAGTACTGAAAATTGCAGTTGTCTTGCTTGATATTCACTGCATTCAAAAACATTTCGAATTTAGTCATAAGAATATTTCGTAACGTGTTATAGTCGAAGATAATGGGTAATAAAAAAAAAAAAAAAAAAAAAAAAAAAAAAAAAAAAACAATAAAAACATAAATAAAAAATGGTTATAATTAAATTACTCATGAATTAGAAACTATAAATATTTGATAGATATTTATAATATTATACATGGGCATATAGCGTACCTTGTCTTCTCTACATACATGAATATTATAAAATTATGCAATTTACGCTTCTCTCTTATTTTAAGAAAAACATGAAAATGTATAGTTTGCCAGAAAGCTATTTTATAAAAGAGTATTTCAATTAAGAAACGTGAGTTTGTCGCTTGTATCGCCGTATACGTTAATAATTATATAAAATAATTCTTTAAAACGTTTGAAAAGACTATAAAATAAACAAACGTGTAACTTGGATTTTTTGAGAAAGTCATAGTCTTCGTTGTATAAATACTAATCTGTCTTATGTCTCTTATTTATCGATATTATATTAGTCGTTAAAAACATTATTATAATATTAAAAAGAACTTTAAAAAAATAAATATCTTCAGAAAGTTTTGAAGAATTATATATTTAGAATACGATAAAATATAGTAAATGAAATGCTTAAGAAAATTATTAGCTTTCATATCAGTATGATATTTTACATTTCATTTACATTAATATAAAAACAATATATAACTACGATGATGAGATATTAAAGATATAAAAAATATTATTAACTTGAATATTTGTATAATACATTTACTTAATAATTATGAAGCAGTAATAAAGTTTAAATTCATTTTTCAAATAAACATTAAGGAATATTGTATAATTCAATTATATATTTTTTGCATATCATTATCTATTACGCTTTATTATATAAAAAAGAAAAAATTTCCTATTCTTCCCAGTTCAGTAATTAATTTATTTCCTACCATTTCTCTCCACACCTTCCACAAACAAAATTAGCGATATCAATCAATTTTTCTAAATTACTATTAATAACAAAAAAATGCCAATTATCAAAGAATTAAATGGCATGACACAATTTTTCATATGTGTTAAAAAAAACCTTCAGAGAAAGTGAAAGGTGAATGTGATTGTCATAACTAACTCATGACAAAAAAATTCTCGCAATTAATATCAGCACAAATGTAATTGAATAAAAGATCATCTTCTCTATATGAGATATTAATCTATGATTTAAGCAAGTTATGATAAATATTTTTGCGTTTATTTGAGAAATTTAAGTAACATGAAACTTTTAATAATTAACTTACACGTACAAACTTCTCTACAACCGATGCTTATAATATAATAAAAACGAAAGTACGTCTTATTGACATTTAGAATATTGTTAACAAATATTTTTTAGACAAAATTTTTTAAATAAAAACAAGAGCTACTCAAAAGGTATAAATGAATTGAATTAATCGTAATATAAGATATTTTTTTATCATTAAAGCTACGTCCCAGTTAAGAATAATTTATTATACGAAGTATATATATAATTTACACATATATCCTCAAATATTCGTTTTTTTTTTTTTTTTTTTTTATTATTTATTTATTTATTTTAATATTTTATTTTATTTTTTATTAGCGAAGATTGACCATCGGAAAATTGTTTTCTAAAATAAGTCAATACAGTTACTTCATTTATTTCATTTACATAGATACATTAATACTAGGTCAATTAAATCAACTAGACCAAATAAAGTAAAACTTAATATATTTGTCTATATAGACTGTTGGGGCTTTTAGAAAATTATATGATATTCTAAATAGCCACATTATTCTGTAATTTCTCTTTTCTGATTTCTTCTCAAACATCGTGCATAAAACAATATGCATTATGACAAGTTTATTTAAATGAAACATAATTTTCATGTATTATTCCAAAAAAATATTTCACAATTTATGCGTAAAAGGACGATGTTTCTTTAAAATTGTAGAAAGTTTAATTAAATAGAAATTGAAAGAAAATACTAAAACTAAAATTAAAGTTTTCATTTTGTAAAGAAACTTGCTTTTATGTAGCGCTGTAAATTTCCATACTTCAAAATAACGATCTGAAATAAGTATCTTAATTAATTAACATATATTTTAGTTTCTACTACGAAGTTATACATTCAAAGTTCGTCACTTTTTATGTGTTCATATAAAATGAGTACATAGCGGTCTTCGTTTTTATTATCTTTTTATTACAAAATTTATCTTATTATTATTTATTTTGTATAATTAAGTAACGTAGTTATATTTTCCACGTGCCACTTTAAGTTTTACCTAATTCCTTAGATTTTTTTTTTTTTTTTTTTTTTAATTTACAATTTCAATAGGGTACGTAAACATATTGTATTGTTTTTATTAAATTCTGTCGAATATGGCTCGAATTAATTTTGTTCATAATATTCATTTCATATATATTTCCAAATTACTTTGGTTATTTTTCATTTAGTACTGCGTTTTTCCATATCGTATTCACTATCACATTAAAGCCTTTCCTACTGTTTTTAGTATTGTATTATTAATATTATATATCATTTATTATAGTCATTATAGTATAACATCAATTATAATATAGTCTATTATCAATTATAATCAAGTCTATTATAGTATAACATCGATTATAGTCATGTATTATTAAAATATTTCCATCTCATTTTCATTCGAATAAGGTATTTAAGGTTTATGTGCTTTAGCTTAAAGACTTTTCTTTGTATATTTATATATATATATATATATATATATATATATATATATTATTCAGGATTTGAAGTATATGGTGATTACTGATATCGAGCAGATTATAATAAAATAATGTAGGTAAAATAAGTCGTAGAGAACAAACTTTACTTGTACGTATTTTTCATACTAGAATTTTCATCGCGAAAAGAATAAATAGTCATTGATTATAAAATACAGTCATTATTAATCGAATTTATGGTCGAGCGAATCGAGCGAAATCTTTTGCAAAACAGATTAGACAAAAGAGATATCCAAGTATCGGTAAGTGATTGTATAGTGAATAGTCATGAATCAAGTTCAGCTAGTAATAAGTCCATTATTTTTATTATTTTCCCGACCATTTTATTTATTCCCTTCGTTGAAATCTTTCGTGGCACTTTAATTCGATCCTCTCGATTCAATTGGAACTTTTTGCAACAATAAGCCACGTCCTGCTGTTAATTACATTATACATAGCGGGTGGATCGTGTTCACGCGAACCTATCGCATTGCGAAACCGAAACCCTCCATTATCATCCGAAAGCAACACAACAGTCGGACGTGCAGCTATTCTATGAATGAACGAATCGTGAAAAAATAATAATCAATATAAGCACATAATTCGAGCCAAGAGCAGCTGTTTAGTGCCACACTGTCCGTAGCGTTACACGAGGACTGACTGCAAAACGTGCGTGCAAAAAAGAAAACAAAATGAAACTGAAATGCGAACTAGTTGAGAATCCAAGTGAAAATAATTTACTGCGAAAAGTAAACACCGCGCGCTGTTGGCGATAGAGAAGAGTCGTCGCTCCAACACCGTTGAGTTCTTCCCTGCCTCTATCTCTCCGCCCCTCATCTTCCCCCTCAATCCCTCGCCAACACCCTCGCGCTATCTCACTCGCTCGCTCTCTATCTCT